TCATATTAAAATGTGTTATTGTCTTGACTAAAACTGATCTGAAAGTATTTACGAATACTCATAATGCGAAATTAAAAGAAAAATCTGACTAGAATAATGGATTTAATTACTTGAAGTGATTTTTTAATAAATAATATACATTGACATTTCGGAATGGTATTCTTATTGAAAAAAAAACAAACTTCAAAGTAAAACACGAGTAATTTGGTATTATGTTTTATGAATTACATAGAGAAAAAAACAACTGTAATAACGAGACGGGTACGCACAAAAGTAATCTATCCAACTACAAACATAAAAACATCAGTTCGACTTATTGACTTGATGTACGAAATTCCACTTAATAAAATGCACAATGCTTTTTTTCCTTCACTCGTTTTCTTTCTTTTTGCACTCGGTTTTATTTGGTAAAACAGATATTTCCACAGTATAGATAATTCACAGTAAATAGTTCAACAGAAATTCATTGTTTTGATTTTTTTTACAATGAAAAATACAATACAAAACTTAATATTTATCACAATTGAAATCATTATTTTTACATTAATGTGAATTTCGAATTGTCACTTCAAAATGTTTAAAATCTTGCAATTAAACTAATCTTTTTGGAATTCAATTATAATTCTATGAATCCATTTTGGCTGTTGACCTTATACGTTGGATTATTTGTAGGGGTCGGTTCTGGTTTTGACATTTGGTTGCTTTGGCAATTAACTCGTTGAAACGGCTGGTTATAGTTGTAATAGTTATAGTATGGAGGTGCTTGGTATTGTCCAGTCGATGGCGTAGGATTCTGCTGCCCAATGAATGGTGGTGGCATCCCATTTGATGTTGGATGACTTGGATACTGGGTCTGATATGTAGGTGGCATAGCATTCACATGTTGTTGTGCATGGCTCTTTTCCACCTGGTGTGGTTGTTGTGCATGATTCTGTTCAATCTGCCGTGGTTGATCTGATGCAGATTGAATTGAGTCTCCTGATGTGTGCGACATACTTTGTGTCGTTTCAGCTACAGGGACCTTATTCTTATTGCTTGGCTTGCTTCTATATGCATATTTTAATACATGATATGTAATGTGGTGCTCACATTCTTCTTTGGAATAGGAATTGCATCCTGTAACAGCTAGACTTGATACCAAATTCAGTAACGCAGAAAATTTCTTCAGAGCAATTTTTCTAATGCCTTTTTGTGCAGATTTTCCAGTCCAAGTCATCTCGGCTAAGAGTGCTCTGTCCAAAAGTGTCTCGAAAATTGCATCGACAACATCATCACCATGTGCTGTGCCTTTGTCGCCATAAAGTACTTTCAATGCGTCAAACTGTAACAAATTCAAAAAATACCAACTTAAAATTAGGGAAAAACTAGTATTTAGAAATCACTCTTACCGCTTTCTTTTTAAAGATCAGTTCATCAGTTAACTTCCTTTCGAAATCGTTCAGATGTGTTGATGTTTTCAATGGAAGTCCGAGCTCCTGCAGTTTTTGTTCATCAATTTTTATTTTAATCGCTTCACGTTTGGCAGGAATTGATTGGTTCAATCTCATTTCTGCAACCATTCTCTGCAGGACTTTGAGTTGATTTGACATGTCAGTCATTTTTTGCATTATTGCCTGTTCACCCGGTGAAAATCCCGGCTCTTCACAAATGAGCTTAACTGAATTATTTCCAGAATTTTCATCGCCAATCTGTATATCATTGCCGGTCGATGCATCTTTTTCTTGGTTCAATTGATCATGAACTTTTAGAAAAAAATCGTCATCGTTTGTGTCAAACTCGGTAGCACCAAATTTATCGGTTTTCTTTCGTATACGTTTTGTGCGATTTTCGCTGTTTGATTCGGTCGCAGGTCTGGTTCGCTTTGAATCATTTACATTATCCACAGTGACAATTTCTTGTGAGTCATTTGCCATTTTGAACAAAAAATGTTGTCTTCTAATTAATGTTTTTCACTTGTTGACGAAAAGCCGGTGTACTTTTGCAGGAGTTGAAGACTGTCAAAGTCATATGTTTTGTTTCAATTAGAGTTACCTACCACGAAAAAGGGCTATTCGTTCAATTGTTATAGAATGTGATAAAAATATGTATTATATTTTTTCTTAGAAAACGCAATTATTTAATGAGAAGCAGCATTTATGATGACTCGGTATGAAAAAAGAAACATTTTAAAAAATGAATGTTCGCATTAGAGGCATGTCTGCAAGATGTAAATATCGTGACAAGTTTGTTGCTTCCATTAGTATTGTCCGATACTTGCAGGAGCTGTCAAATTCATTTGATTCAAAATATATGTGAATATAAACAGTAGTTTATTTTATATTTGAAAAAAAAAACGCAATTATTTAATGAAAAGCAGCATTTACAATGGTTCGGTATAGAAATAGAAATAGTTACAAAAAGATTCGTACGGATGCAGAACGAGCACGTAAATATCGGTGTGTCAAATCCATTATTTCTAAAACTCAATCGCTAATTGAACAAGAGTGTGAGAATGAAATCGAAGACATACAACTAAATATTGAAAAGAAGAAAACAACAAGAGAATTGTTGAGATCATGGGCCAATTGCCATGGCATTACAACACGGGCAATTAATGATTTGCTTAAAATATTAATCCTAGCAGGTATTGTATTTCGATCAGTCAAAATTATTCAAATTGCTCTAAATTGTTCCTGTTTACACTGCAAACCCGTTTGTTTTCAGGTTTACAAGGTCTACCAAGAGATTACAAATCTCTACTTGAAACTCCTAGGTCCATTGAAATCTCGATGTTAGCAGGTGGAAAATTTTGGTAAAACGAAACAATTTTAAACTCTATTTTTCGTACATAATGACATTTCTTCCTGTAGGTACAACGGAATCGAAAGAAATTTGAGGAACATATTTTCGGACTTGAATAAAAATATGTCAATTTCACTTAATTTCAATTTCGATGGGTTGCCCATATTTAACAGTTCCAAGCAAACTTTTTGGCCAATTCTATCAACTATTAAAGGTAAATACTATGGCCCAAAATATATATTGTTTTCAATGTCAATTTCGTTATTTTTTTTATATTTCATTTCATAATAGAAATGCCATATATACGCCCTATTATAGTGGCTATTTGGTGTGGACCGACAAAGCCAACTAATTTATCTGAATATCTGAGAGAATTTGTAGATGAACTTAAGGAATTGATGCAAAACGGAGTGACAATAAATAGTAAAAAAGTTACTATTTCGTACCATTGCTCTATACGTGATACTCCTGCACGATCATTCTTAAAGGGTTGGGATGGATTCTTATGTATTTTTGATACAATTCTATCTCAGAAAAGTAGAATAGATACAATTATAGCCATTTTTTTACATTTTGCAGGTGTTGTCAATTTTAATCACCGATATGGATGTCAAAAATGTCTCACGGAGGGACAATTTTTTCCAATTGCTAACCGAATGTCGTTTCCCAAAATAGGCGAAGAAGAAAGAACCGACAACAACTTTAGAAATCCTGCTGGAGGGTGTGACGCCCAGGAAAAACATCACAAAGAATATTCTATACTTCAAGAACTTGATATTAACATGATAACAGGTTTCCCGACATCGGATCCACTTCACCTTTTTGAACTCGGAATAATGAAAAAGTACGAATTTCTTTACTCTATGCCATGGTTTTTATGCATTATAGAATAATACATAAGAATTCATTTCTTATCGTTGCCTGCAAGGATAGATCATTATAATGTCAATTCTAACCAAATACTTTGTCTAATAGTTTTTGTATTTGTCCAAATGTTTCTTCAAGGAATTTATTGAGATGGAAAAATGGTGATCTAGCTTTTAAGGAAAAGTGGACGAAAAGCGACATTGAACAAATCAACAATAAATTGGACAGTTTCATAAGTCACAAACCAATAGAAATTCATCGAAAAGTACGAAACCTAGATGTTTTGAAATATTGGAAAGGCACTGAGTTTCGGTCTTTCTTATTATATTATGGAATGGTGACTAAAAGACCATTTGGCTGAAGATGTTTATTATCACTACATTACATTGGTATGTGCTGTGACGATTTTCTACACAGAATCATATGTTTTATACCAAACAAAGGCTGCCGAGTGGTTGAATAGGTACATTGAGGGTTGTGTTAATATCTACGGCATTCATAGTATTACCAGTAACTTTCATAATCTAACGCATGTTTTTGATGATGTAAAACTTTTTGGTAGTCTTCAAAACATAAGTACATATCCATTTGAGAACAGACTGAATTTTCTAAAAAGAAGATTGAAACAACCGAATTTGCCAATTGAGCAAATAGCTCGCCGCCTTGTTGAACTATCAATGGATTATGACGAGCTATATTCTTTTGATGCATCAATAGCACCAGAGAAAGACCCCATGAGTTGTCTTAAATTTCCTTTTGAAACAGGGCCTTTTCAATTTTCGAATCATAATGGTAAACTGTACAAAGAAATCACTACCTCTGATTACACACTATCTTCCAAGCGTAAAGCAGATAGTTGGTTTTTGACATATTCCAATGAAATTGTTCAATTTCAATGTGCTGGGTGGGCTGATACTGAAATAATTATTTATGGAAAAGTAATAGTACAAAAAAGCAATTTTTTCAAATACCCATGCTCATCTATGTTCTTGAACATATTTGAATCAAGCGGCATCACAGATAATTTAGCGTTGTTTAAAATAGAAAACATAAAAGCAAAAATGTTCCGTTTACCAAACAAAGCAAATTTTGTATTCATTCCTCTTGTACACACTTTGAAATAAAAGAAACCTTTTCATAGAACGTGTTTACTGATTATTTTACTGACATTTGGCATTTTTAACATTGATTTGTTTTGTACGACATTTATGAATAATCTAATGATTTTGAGTTCTGTGAACTATCTAGCCAACGGAGATAAGTTCCACATTGTAAACAATTGTTGCATTCTTAGGTATAAGACCTGGCACACCAACTGATCCATAGGCCATTTGTGGTGGGCAAATAATGTTCCGTTTACCACCTACTCTCATTCCAATGATACCAGTTTGGAGTCCTTCAACTTGTTCTTCGCCACCCAGTGTGATTTTGCAACCAAGTTCACTTTTGTCCTCCGCGAATCTTTTATCCGTTCCAAACACCTTGGCATCATAATTGATGAATACGGCTTTGCCTCTTTTTGCCTTTCGACCATCACCAAGCTGGGCATCTGTTATTTTTACGCCGTTGGTCAAAAGTCGTATTTGCGATCCCGATTCTATGAGTACAATTGATGGATTTAGTATTCAATTCAAATGATTTGCCAAAACAATATTTATTCACCTTCTTCTTCTTCGTCTTCTTCTTTGACCGTAGATTTCCCTGCTTTCTTTAGCTTTTTATGATTTTCATCATGTTCAAAAAGATCTGGTGGAGCACCACGTTTTTTGGACTTGTCAGGTTTTGCAGCAGTTTCTGATGCGTCACTGTGACCATCGTGCTCTTGAGCTGAAAAATTATATGACTTTGAAGTACGTGGTGTAAATACATGTAGGAATTTTTTCTCACCCGACTCGCTCAAAACCTTTTCCGAATCGGTATTGATTTTCGCTTCTTTTTTAACAGCGCGTTGCTTATGTTCATCAATAGTGTTTGGTTCAAAGTCCGTTGGATTTGGATGTGGTTCCTCAACTGAAATGTCGATTGTTTCGTAGCAATCATTTGGCATAAAATAGCCCGAAATGTAAATTTTTCCCGCGCCTTTTGTTGACATATTCAACTTTTCTCCTGTTCCAAACATCAAATCCAATGTAACGTGAGGCATTTGGCGACCCAGAGATGCAATCAAGCTTTGTTTTTCAGCCGGTCCGACCCACACTTGTGTATTGGCATCCTGGGTTTTTTTCATAGATGATAAGTCCAGTACGGCTTGCGTCAAGTGGAGCGTTGAATCGACACTTTCGCAAATATTGGAATTTGGCTCCAACACAAAACCTATGAATTTCAAAGGAATGTAATTTACGCAAAAAATGTACTTATACCCCATTAAAATACATACTTTGAAACAACTGTTTCACTGGTTTATACGAAACGTTCTCACTCATTTTGCGTCGAAAAAAATTATCTCGAAAAGCTAAAACAGCCGTTGTAATCCAATACGTTGAAAATCAATTTTATTCTGCCAAGCTAAAAGCAATTTGTGGTAGAGAATTGAAAGCAAATGTCAAACCATGTTGAATTTCACAACATTCCAGTTGTGTGTCCAACGAGAAAGGGTTATTGGAAAGAATAGAAAAATACACAGTTCCCTCAGAACAAAATAAAGCCGCATACTTCGGCGCACACCAATACATAGAGAGTCGTTTGCTTCAGCTGAGCACAACATTTACATAGTGAATGTGTGCGGTCCATACTAATTCTACATAGTAAACGATTCTCTATGTATTGGTGTGCGCCGAAGTATGCGACTCTATTTTGTGAACTGGTAGCGACCCCTTCATGCACTGGAAAAATTCCAGTCAATATGACAGCCCGCTTCATTTTCTTAATAAAATAATCAAAACATCAGGATACGAACATTGAATGTTTGCTTTGAAACGACTTAATTTTTTGTTTGTGTTTGAGTGGTGGACAATACTTAAAATGGCCAACATTTTCATTGCAACGGTAAGATTACTCAAATTATCG